AACATTGCTCCATTTGTAGCTTCAAGGAAAATATCCTCTTCAGCAGCCCAATTATTATTTGCAATTTCTAAAAAATACAAGCAACAAATCAATTAAATATAATACAATTTGTAATTACTTAAGTATATAATTTAAATGCATTGAGAAGTCATAGTTGACTGCAATAAAAGCGATTTAAAAAAGAAAAACGCTAAAAATAATGTTTTATAAAATTCTAATTTCTTACTTGGTGTCACTTGTGATGACTTCGAAAACAACGTTACACGTGATTTTTTCAATATTATTCTTTCCAGGCATCCCAACTTTGCCAGTATCTACCGTAAAAATAAATTTTATAGAATTTAAAGAAAATCATGAAATAAAAGTTACCTGCTTGCAATTCATTCTGTGTGAATTACCTGAGCGTAACTTACGGACTACTGCATTTGTGCCCAGCCTGTTTGTTATGCGTTCTAAACTATGTGCCTAGCCTAATTGCTAGACGTTCTAACTAAACTCGTTGTCACTGCTCTGAATGTTTCTACTTGACTATGACTGACTGACTCTGTGTAACTGTGTGTCTAGTCTGATCGCTAAGCGTTCTACACTCTATCCAATTTAAGAATAACCTCGCTCTCGGACCGATTTTCGTCCGTTCTGCGCATAGACAGAGAGCGTAACAGAGGGTAAGACGGAGAAACACGTAGGCGGTTAAGTGGGGGTTTGAACGTTCTAGCCCTGCCTTAGGCACGTCCAATGCCCGAAGCAAGGTTATTCTTAAATTGGACAGAGTATAAATTATCTCTCTTCTTATTCCTTACATGCACGCTGATTAGTCATACCTAAGAATCCTTAAACCGCCAATCAGCGTGCCTAAGAGACATTGCAAGCACTCTTCCCTTGCGCCTTAGCTTCTCTTGGGAAGGGGTGGTGATGTCTCATAATAAGACAGTAACGGATGTTTCGACAATGTCGAATTTCCGCCATGTTTTGACCATTCGATCTCCTGACTGTTACAACTAATAGCTAAAAGACCCTTTGGAAATTCCCACTTTATAACACGTTTTCAGGCTATCAAGAACACGAGAAACGAATTTTTGAACCTCTAGGCTATAAACTTCAACTTCTCTCGTTAATACGTATTTTAATTCTCTAAATACATTCTAAAAATGAGCTAAAATCCCAAGCTGAAAACTAGCCTTTTGCTACGGCTGTGTCATAAAACGTAACCTTAACAGATGAAATCTATTAAAAGCAAAACAAATTTCTGCCCAGGTCACACTTTATTACTAATTTTCTATAAAAGAATGCACTTGTTGTATCAACATCCGCAATCTAAATATAAATAGTAAATTACCTCGACTAATTCTCGTGTATGACATGGTTGAAGAGCAGGAACAAATCTATTCTGTATCTTGGTTAACGCTATACCCGGATGTGTTAAGCAATATGATAATATTGATCCTAACATGCGATCAAGCACTCTACGATTCAAAACTCCATCTATCCGAATCCACGGTTTTATCGCTACTCTTATTTCTTGTTTCGTACTGAAACACGAATAAAACAGATGTAAATGTTATTGTGTATTATAAAATCCTGGATAACGTATCTATCTGTATCTTAAACTATTTTTTCAGAGAAATATTTAAACGTACAAAGTACTGTTTAATAGATGTAACTCTTATTGTACCAAATATAACAACACTTAAAGTATAATGAAAAGAAGATCTTACTTTAAATCTAATTGTTTCGCGGCTTTAGATATATCTTTTTGAGGTAACAATCTGGTCCTTTTTCTTTGCGTCCTTTTCTTTACTTGCACGTAACATTCTTCATCGCTATGGCTGGATGTATCTTTATCAAAATCTTTGTTTTTAACATCTTTCACTTCTGACTGAGTATCTTCTTCAGTCACATTCTCGTCGCACATTTTTGATGAATCATTTTCTAATAAACTAGGACATTCAACGCACCCTTTTGTCGTGTTTAAATTTTTATCCTCGTTTAATCTGTCCTTATGATCTACCACGTAGAGAGCTCCTCCTTTAGGCATTGGTACAAGCGACTCTCTTTCAATGCGACTTATTTTATATGAATGTATTAACCAAGAATCAACGTGACGATAATGTATATACCGAATAATCGTTACACCTGACCGTAAGAATAAACGATTTTCGGTGAGAAGTGAAGTAATACGGTGTAAATCTTCTCCTAAGGTACATTCAAATTCATCCTACAAAGAAAACAAAAAAAATGATTAATTAGTGTAGGATCGGTTGACCGAGAAACAGCTTAACTGCCACAAATATAAATATATAGAAGTCTTTCAATTTTCATCATTATACATTAGTAAATAAACATTTTAACCCTTTGAACTCCAAAATTTTTTTTTAATTTTCTTTTCAATAACTATTATTTTAAGAATTTTATTTGAAATGCACTTCAAAAGACATTTGGTCGATAGGAACCAATTTAAACAATTTTTTTTACTAATTACAGTAGTGCACACATAAGCGTCCGCATTGGTGCACACTTAAGCGTCCGTCGCTATCCCTACCAATTCTTGGAAATGGGACTTCGGAGTGAAGTTCGAACGTTCGACCAAATGTCTTTTGAAGTGCATTTCAAATAAAATTCTAAATTCGATAATGTATGTTTGAAAAATGCACTTTAATATTCAATGATAAAAATATTTTAGTAAATTATAATTTTTAAATATTTAATATCACGTACAAATTTATAAACTGCCTCTATATTATTCAAGTGCAGTAAACAATCATTAGGTAAATTTTTTTTTAAATCCAAAAATGATATACCATCTTTAGGGAAAACAGCAAATTTATTTAGTTTTTGTATTAAATCATTTGCGACGTTTAATTTTAAAGGTAACAAATCCAAGGGCATTGAAAAGCCTCTAAAAATTTCATTGGCTTCAGTGTTCTGTGAATTTGACCGGTGTAAGTAATAAAACATTTTAAACATATTTACAACAAAATATTCATGTGCATGATGACTATCTGCTATGGTGAGTTCACTTAGTTCTTCTCTCATCCGCAATAAAGCTATACGAGTATATCGTTTATGTATATCAGCCGAATCATCAATCTTGCAGTATGAATTTGAATAACTCTGTTCTGGTAGAATTTGTTTTAAAATATCACTAACACGTGTGAAGGCATGTTCTTTGTTCTTTTTTAAACATTCTTTGTTCGAAGTATTTTTTGGATTAATAGTTTTTACATCAACTTCAATTGTTTCATTGTCAGAATTTTTCTTTAAATCTTGATTTTGTTCTTCATTTGATGCTTCAATCAAACTGATATTACTAATTTGCAACGTTTCTTCGTTTCTTCTTTCATTCTTCTCTGCATTTATAATTTGATTATCCAATTTCTTCTTTTTCTGAACAGGTTCATTTGTATCAAATAGTTGTTCACTTTTATCTCTTGGTCTCTTGTTTCCAGACGCAATTAACTTTTCTCGTGTATTCACATTTGAATCTAAACGTGAATGAGATAAAAGTGAACTTTCTACATTTAACATGTCGTCCTTATTTTCATCTTTTGTACAATCTGATGATGATGCACCTTCAAATTGCACTTGAATTGCATCCTCAAATTGCACTTTGTTATGTGTTATAGGATTACTATCTTCGATACATACTTCATTTCTTCCCATTTCTCTCATTAAATCGTCATCACAAAATGTTAAACGCTCAACATCATCTTCGTTCAATGTAATTTTAGTTCCATCTTGAAATTTAATTATATTTTGTTCATCATCAACATTACGACAATTTTCTTCATCACTATCGAAATTTAATTCGTCGTAGTCAGTAAAATGTTTCGGACCTTCAAGATGTCTTTTTCCAGTTTCATATTCTTGCAAAAGTGTGTTCTTTTCCATATCCAAATCTGAAAAGCCATCTTTATCTGATTTTTCATTAATATTATGTATATTATTACCGTCAAGTTTGGAATCAAAGCATTTATCGTTACATTGTTCTAGATCGGTCATTGAGTCACTATTTTGCAAACATGATTCCTTTATAAACTTCAAATTATCTAAACTAGCTAAAACATCGTGATACCTTTTAGCTATTCTAAAGTACGTTTCGTCTTTTTCTTTTAATCTGGGATCAAGCATTATAACTTGATCAGGTATTTCGATGTCGAAATCTATTTGATCTCGTATAATATAATCGTGTATCGCTCCCACTACACCACCAGTAACTGGTAACACTTCAATACCATTAAAAATATTTGATGCTTTACTTAGATCATTTGTATGATTGTGACAATACCACTTGCTCAATTTAAAGAAAACATCATACGATTCTTTGAATATATCATACGGCCATTTAGTATGAAATTTATATATGTAATTGCTACTTAATTGATACTGAGAACTGCTCATCGGCATGTAGTTACCGTATTTCCTTATAGTAGTTAATTGATTCTTTTTAATTGTAACCATTTGATCGTTACGAATTTTCGCCATAGCATTTCTTAAAAGCGTCTCTGGATACTGCTGATATACTTTAAACAGTTGATATGACCAAGATCTTCTGTCTTTGCCACAACACATTGAACTATGAATAACAGAATTTATAACTGCAGACTGTATATCGCTGATATTTCGAACATCTTTCGTGAAACCACGATTAGAGAATGGTTTTGTAGGATGTACAACTTTGTAAAATAAATTGAACTCTTGCACCGTCATTGGCACAGGAAGTGGTTCTTTAGACCCAACATCTGAAATGTCATAGTACTTTTTCGCGATATAGGTAACAAGTGATTTAAACGCCTCTGTAACTTTTTTTTCGTATTCATGAGAACTTTTATACTCTTCTTTGAGTTTCTCCACGATGCCATCAAAGCGTTTTTTAAGAAAGAAGTTCTGCTTGAGTTCTTCAACCCCTAAAGTAACGGCATTAATGTTTCGTAGTTGTCTAAGCATGTATAAAAGTCGCCGTTGACAAGCTCTTGATGTTTTATTATACGAACTGTACGAATACATCCACAATACATCTCTCACTGCAGAAAATGTTATTACTTGTTTGCGTGGATTTGGACAGAGGTACACCATAGCTACTTTGCAAACGAGCAGAATCTTATCCTCATGCGGCTCCCAGTCCACTCGTAGTTTGTGCATCCGTTGCAACGCTCGATAATCAACTTCATCATACTTTGTTCGCTTTTTATTAAGACTTTTACGAGGTAGTACTCTCCTGATGTAGGATTTTTGTTTCGTATTTCGCTGATATGGTAACGCTTCATACTTATTTGGCTGATCTGAAATCTTATCGCTTTCAATTTGTACCTTCTTTCTGAGTTCTGTCGCATTAACAGAAGGAGGACCAGATACCGTTTTCAAACCGGAGAAGTCGGTAAATTTAATAGGTTTTGCTTTTATTTTAGAAAGATACGTGTCTCTTTCATAAACTACATTCTGTTTCTTCTTTGGTTCTCGAACCACCACATTACTATAACCCCAATTCCAATTTCTTTTAAGATGTGCGAAACAGGCTGAATCTATTCCAGCAGCGCCTTTGTGATCTCCAGGTACTTTACCAGTATCTAATTTTATAGCTTCATCTGGAGAGCGAGTTACAATTGCTTTAATCATATCACTTTTCTTATTTAAGTCTTCTAACACTATATCCTTTCCTTGAACAACAAGTCGACCACCTAATGGAGTATTAATACAAGTATTCCACATATCATACCAGTATTTCTCGACTACCTGAATTCCGTCAAAGTTATACTTGATTACGGGATAAGGTTTATCTTCAATGATGTGATAACTAGGAGCAGAAGATGTCGTATCCATTAATTCAGTACGACGATTCACGTAAATAAATACTTGGTCCTTTTCTTTCAATCTTTGAGGTCCAAATTGCACTAGCCCAATATAACATAATCTCGTTACAGTTTCATGAATGTTAAATATGTACTTCCGTGCATAAAGCAAAGAATTCCGAATATCAACTGGCAAATCTTTAACTAAATAATGCTTTCTAATTGGATGACTCACATATTTATCTATTTCTGGTATTTCAAATGAAATATAATGAATTTTTAAAAATATCGACAAGGGTAGTCGTAAAATAACATCACACATTAACGTCCATCCTAGGGGCCAACCTGAGAATAATAATTTTGTCTTTCATCGTTTCCTTAATCCTTTATAACAAATTTATTAATCATATCAAATATATTGCTTAAATAATTATTTTTATTACGTACGAAAGTTAAAATTAGAACTACGTGTTTAATGTAGTAATCATTTCTTTTAATACATATAGTAATATGATACTAAAATTATTTAGCTTGTACAGAATTTTTCAACTAAAGTGTTACAAGCTATTTTCTCCAAAATTATTAAAAGTAGTGACAAAATTTCTCTTGATCTGTTTGCTGTTCGTTATGCTCTATTATATTACTAAAACTCAGAGGAAGGAGAGAAACTGAAAAAGGATGACTACACTTATCTTTTTCATTTAATGATGCATAAATGTTTATATTTTCGAATAACTTCTTTCAATCCTATCAACATTTGAAAAATTTTTGTTTATTCTGCATAATTAAAGAGATATAAACAAAAGTATATAAGATGGTCAAAAGTGCCCTTGAATCAATTAGGTCATGCGATATACCATTCGAAGGCTCACCGAAAGAAAACATTGGACACCAACTTTCAACCCTCTAGCTCGACCTAGGGGGTAGTTACAGGGTGGTTTATGTTCATCAGTTTGTAGACTATTTTCCCTATTTAGCGGTATGCAGAAATTTTGAAAAAAAATTTGGCACATTGCCTATATGAAGGTACGTGTTAGGGAATTTTTTCTGACTTTTCGTTGCAAGTCCTATTTGTAAAAAATAAAAAACGTAAACAAAAGCGGATATCTTTTGAAATATTGAAGCGACTACTTTCATATTTATGTAGTAGCAGCGTCTTAACGTAACTATTATCCTCGATTTTTTTTCAGATTTTTTGGTAAGGTGCGCCGTAGTTAAAAACATTAAAAATCGATATGTTCTATGGATTTTACTCATAAAAGTAACTTGTATTTCCAAGTGTATTATTGGTGGAATAGGTAAGGGTTTACCTACGGAACCGTTGCAAGTTTTTCTTCACTTTTAGGTAAGTATTGTTAGGATTACAAAGAGTTACTCGGAAATATGAACATTTACATATTCATATTTCCATTTATTCATTATATCCATTTAAAACGATAGGTGTAGCCACCCTTCATTACTCCTTGGGGGTTCAGTAGTAATATCTTGTTAGTAGTATAAAAGAGCATAACGAGCAATACACAAATAAAAAAAAAAAAAAAATGTTGTTACCATTGATATTTTCTAATTGTAAAAAAACAGCTTGTAACACTTTGTATTTGTAAGTCATATTTATAATACATAAGTTAATGTAAATTTTAAAAATCGTCCGTAATATTCCTTATGTTTATTAATTTTTTACTACCAGTGTTTAATATGTTTTAGAAGTTTAGTTATAAAAGAAATATTTGCTGAGGAAAAAAAATAATCATAACAACAACTTACCACTATATTCTCGCAAAGGTGGCACAAACATTTTCCAACTAACATTTTTAGTGTAAACTGTACTGAATTCTTCTGCTAATTCCTCTGTAATACTAAAACCATTATCTCGCAAAGCTTTCAACTGTTCCGTTTTTGAAAGGGTTTGTTCACCAGGATGTTCATAAACCAAATAAAACAAAAAGATATGTAGTGCTTGCAAACGAAGAAACTTCGGACTATATCCATATTTCCTCGATATTCTCTGAAATCCAAAAATAAATTAAATAATTACAATTTCTAAAGGAAAGATGCGCAAATATTGGAACTTATTATTCATTGTTATAGCACTTGTATGTAAGTTTTCTTCCATTTTAAACTAAATCATTATAGTTAATTCCTTTTATATTTAATGTAACTGAAAATTATGTGAACCTAAAACAAGACAGATACTTACAGGACCACATTTAAAACCTACTGGAACTGCTGTAGGTTGCTTAAAAAAAGATTTATTGTCATCAGATTTATTTGTAGCACCACCATTATTATACTTGTCAGATTCTAAATTTTCTGTACATTTTTTCGTTGATGATTTAAACTTTGGAAAGCCCAACAAATAGAATTTCAATTTTGCTTGTTCCACAGCTGATTGAATAAGATGACTGTTAATATCTATGTTTGGATCACATATAAATGTCAAATGTTTCTCTTTGCCATTTCCACTCAATGTTATTTTTATGTTTTTCACTAAATTATCTTTTGCAAGTTTTTGTAACAGTCTTATTAAGGATTTTTTATCGATTTTTACATCATATCCTTCTTTGTCTTCTTCTTCATGTATCATCTAAAACCAAATAGAAAATAATTAAGAGAAATAACGAAAGAAAAAAATATCTGTTCATGGCATTAAAAAAGTATTTTTAAGTAAAATATTCTGTTACCTTCATTAACTTTGTCATATCATCAACAACTTGATGTTCTTTAACTGCTTCTATAATCATATTAGCTCTTCTCAATAATCTATATGTAATATTTGCCACACTTTTCTTTTCACTATTTTGTACATCTTCCATAAATCCATATACTTCACTTTCTGACTTTTTTGTATTTGTTGATTTGAAAACTGTCAAATCAACTTTTATATTTTTATATGCAGCTACTGCCTTTTCATCTTTTGATAATTCAGAAATGTGTAATAACATGTTATTAGATTTTATGTCTTTTTCTTTTGTCTGGACTTTATTGATTTTATTTGATAGATAATTAGAAAATGTCCGTTTGTATCTATTTGGGCGCTTGATTATACGATATTTATATAATATCCGATTAACAACATAAAATACGTTTTGCAAATCAGGTGTAGCACTGTTCAATTCTTCTTCTATTTTGACAATACTATTAATTTTGTTATCATTATTAATTATACTAGATATAATCACATTTTCTACATTTTCTTTTGTATCATTAGTAATGGTATTCTTCTCCTGCTTCACAGTTATTTTACTTTTTTCCAAATCATCACTTACAGTAGCAATTTGTTTTGTAAGTTCTTTGATTTTATGCATTTCTTCCTTAAACTGTTTACTTAGCTTACTACTTTTCTCATACCTTTTTGATACATATTTTGTAAGTCTTTGTCTGCCAATATCATTCATATAAGTTGCAACAATATTTGTTTTAACCATATTTCGTAAAATCGTTCGTGATTGTAATTTTGTCAAGCCCATTATTTTAGCCAGTTTACCTTGACATATACCATCACTTCCATTAGCTTCAATTATTGTATTTGCTTGTTTCAAGTAAGGTACACAATATTTATGATTGGAAATATTTAGTTCTACAAAGAAAACGCATTACAATAATATACGTTAATAAGTTAAAAATATCAAATAAAATTGTAAGTCAAACATAGGGATAATCAATAATTAAAGAAAACATATATAAAGTATCTCAAAAATATTAAAATTATATTATACTATGCATCGAAAACAATTATTAATTAATAGTTATTAAAATAAATTTTGATACTATGTAAATTTACTAAATACATTTATCAACCAAAAACTCAAGTTATATTATTTAGACAATAACATGAATAATACATTAAATATGTCATACTATTGATATAAAAAAGATTTCTTAACAAAAGAATATAAAGAACTATTAGAAAGTATGCAGACTGTTAAAGGAAAGAGTTAACCACTTTGAAAGCATATAATATTCATTTTAATGAAAAAAAATTCTTAGTGAACAAGTCAAAATATACAGGATGGAGCACATAAGTTGAATTGATCAATGGATAGAATGAAAATATCTCAAGATAAAATGATCGGAATAGCACATAGTTAAGATTGTTGAATTTGTCTTTTTATCCTCTATAAGAATATAGAAAAAATGTACCATAGGAGTTGAGAAAACACCAATGCATTTGAAATCTAAAAAAAAATGACTGAAAAAATTTCTCTTTTTATCATTTTCTTCATCTCTTCAAATGGCTTAACTGTGCTTTAAATGGTCTGCTAAAAAGCAGAGATATTTAAATGTATATGTATATCCACTTACATGTTCCACTCTGTACAATATACAAGGTGTCATAGCAAAATCCAAATACCTAAATATCTCCTTTGTTTTTAATGATACTGCAAAATGTTTGAGACATAAAAAATTCTTTTTCCATGATCATTGCTTAAAGTCACTGGTAATTTTTTGTAAGAAAACATTTGTTTCTAAGCCACTTGTAATGGATGTTAAAATACATTCAAGTATGTCAGAGTTATGACTTTGACTTTGATCGCCAAACTTAAGCAAAGAAAAAATATAAGTTAAGTATTTAAATAATAAATTTGTTTTACGAATTTATCATGTTTTGTAAAATCAGTTGTAACAAAGGAAACCATGAAAACTAAAGATAACAGATTCTTGAAACAGATTCTGAATTCAATTTTGATGAACATGAACAAAAATCTATTTGTTAAAATATATATTAATACATTGTAGTATAATGGAAGTGATAAACAAACCTTGAGGTTCTTCTTCTTCTTGCATTTCATCTTTATTCCATGCTTCAAGGATATCAATGTTTGGAGATAATAATTGTACTACTTTAATTTTCTTTTCTTTCATTGGATTATTTTTCTGCTGCCACTCTGTTGGTGTTGCATTAGGGTATAAAGTTCTATATGGTACTCTCTATTTAAAAGTACAAATATTTTTTTGAATAATTAAAGTAACTACAATTATGTAATTAGAAACTAAAAAGTATGTAATATTTGTTACTTACAAGATCTGTTTTTACAACCTTCTGGAAAAATGAAGTTTTAAACAATTTCCTTATTGCATTTTCAATTTGTAGCTTGCGTTTAATTTCATCATATTCTGCAACACAATTAGGTTTTGACTTAAGAATTTTGATTACTTCTTCAGCCAAGAAAATTATTTTTGGTTTTCTTTCAACAAAGAACCTTGGTAGATGTAAGAGACTTCCGTTACAACCGTGACCACCAATTTTTTGATGATATAATTGTTTTGTTATTAACTTATGACACAGCATAAACTTCCGATGGTAAAATAAACTTTTAGGATCTTCATTTAATGCATTAAGACTAAGTTTTCCCTGAGTAACTTCACCATGATATCGTGATCTTCCTACTCTTTCCAAAAAACAATACTGTATTACATTTAATACAAGTGTCGGAGATATTTCATTTCCCATCAATGCATGATTTCTAGTAGCTTGTGATGCAACAATAACTAATTTTTGTCCATATTTTTCTGTAACTTCATCTAAACTAAGATTTCTTAGAATTTCTGTAACATCTTTACGGGTATTGTAAGTTGAACAAGATCCTTTAATATTATTTGTGACATCATTTATAGGGCAATGTGGATAAATATCTGGTGGTACATTTTCCTATAAAAATACATAATGTTTTATATCCATTGTAATTCACTAATTTAATTAAATTGTAAAGAATACTTTTTCAAATATTTACTGGTTCTAATATAATACCCAAATCAGGATCTACAAATTGATAGCGATCAAAAATTACAAGTGGATCTCTTGGTGTTTCCAATTCATAAAATCTAAACACTTTAATCTGCACACACATTGACCATATCTGAACCATGAATGCTTTTGAAAGTGGTAAAGGATAGTGGAGTCGATGTGCTAATCGTAACCATAATGCTAAAGTAGAAAAAATCATGTTCAAAATTAATATTTTTAATATTAATATATTTTCTA